CTATTACATGTTGCTTCATTTTACCATAAATTGTGTTAAAAAAGTGATTTGCTCATTTGGCTGATGTTACAGTTTTCTGATGTTTTGTTTGGATGATAGTGGAACAATTTCAATATGAAAGTGCAGGTGTCTTTAGACATGAGCCATAATGTATATATCAAAATACTGATAAAATCCGTTTCCAGCTTGATTGTATTTGCATTGTTGCAGACAAAGTTGTGCAATGGTGGGCTTATGTCACATACTCGTATGTAATTCCATGTGCATGCTTGTACTTTGATGCCTCAAGAGATGCTTCGAATGTGTAATAAAGGGCTGTTCGCAGGAGTTGGGCTGTCTGGCCTTAAATTGCATTGTTTTTATGATATTTTAAGATTGTATTCGTATGGCTGGACCATCTTGCCATTGCCACAATGTCTGATGTTGAAACAGGCTTTAAAACTGATTTGTCAGAGGGGGTTGGAGGTTTTCTACTTGTGATCGGGCAAGTGGAGCTAGCTAAAGGTGCTGGGTCAGAGTCAAACTCATGTGAACAGCTTCTAAGTCCTAATTATATTGATAAATTATGTACACTTTGGGATGGTAATGTAATTTGTAAAATATTCCACATTTTATTTAATAAAATTTAATTATATACATTGTTTTTGTTGTTTATATTAACACCTTGGACAGTATATATTTACACTTTGGACCCTGTAAATAAACACCTTTGGAGGGTGTACCCATTCTAAGCCAAAGACGTTTAAGAACAATTATCAAGGTATTTGCATAATATATTTAAAACTGCTCTCCATATACATGTAATGCATGGTTCAATTCTTGCTTTTACCAAGTAAACCCAGGGATTTTCAATGTCCCCCTCCTCCCGTAGAATTCACTTGAAGTGACTGGGGCAAGGTAGCTATAAGTATAAGTAGGTATATAAAAGTCAATTAAAATTTACAAATAGAGCTTTTTGAATATAGACCATTGCAAATTTTTTTTTAATTTGTTTAACCCTTTATAGTGGCAATGTGCCCTACTTTAGTATATTACTCCATCTGGTGCCAGACAATTTTACTCAAGGGCAGAATGTAGACTTGCCACAAGTCGACCTCGAACGAAACGTCGGCTCACACTCGCTGCTTGCGTTTCGTTCGAGGTCGACTTGTGGCAAGTCTAGGCAGAATGCTGCCACTCAATGAGTTAATATATTCTCAGAACAATTACCATCAAATTTAATCTATTTTGCTGGCAAAATTGCCTTGGAGGGGGTCCTTGATTTGTTGAGTTTTTCTTTTTTTTGGGGGGGGGTGAGTGTTGTAAAAAACAGAATAGCAACTGGTTTCAGAATAGGAAGAATTGTTGTAATATACAGTAGGTAATATAATTCTAAGACAAATCATCCAAAGGAAGCAATCATTCTAGCTCTTGTAGTGTATGTTGCAACAGGGATGGATTTAGAGGGGTTCTATTTTTTCATGATAAAGCAAAAAACTATTACAGGCAAAATGAGACAGTAATTTGAGTAATAACATGATGATAAGCGAGCTGTGAACAACAATTACAATTTAATTAAATACAGTAGTAAAGCAAGACTTTGCAGTAGTGAAGCAAGTTGATGGGCGGGCGGCACACATGACCAACACAACTTGGCACCAGAGCTGGCAGAACACCCACCCCCCTACCAGATCATGCTGGATCGATCCACATGAATGAAGATTAGAATTGCATCATGTTATATAGTCTTAAATATTTAGAAGGGGTCTCCATTATTAAATTAAGAGATTAAAAAGGGGTCCCATGACATTTTGACATAAGAATCTCCCACCCCACCCTAGGGTATAATGAATGGTCACTAAAGTACATGCCATCGTCTATATGGTTGGGCACCTTGCCCCTCTTGTGATGGAAAATCTATTCCCTACCTTTATCCCGTGGGACAAAAAATTCAAATCTCCACCCTGATAATGTGCAGATGGTAACAGCAAGAATTGAAGCAAGCAAGCTTTACTGGAGTACATACTATTATTAGGAAGCATCAATTCGCACATGCTAATTTGCCATTCATGATTTTAAACGTAATATTTCTTATCTCGTATAGAATTCTTAAGGTCTTGTTTACATTTTACTGGAAGCAAACTAAGATGCATATCCAATATTTGGGTCATATCACTCATATGTCAGTTTTGCAGCTTGCCAGCTTCAACAACATTTGGCTGCAAGGAAAACGTAAACAAGGAAAGAGAATATAACACTTCATCTGTGTTTAAAATATCAATGAATAAATATTCCAACCATTGGCACTTTATAATATAAGTGACATTCAACAATAGATCAATAACATATACAGTATATAAGTGTATGCAAAAACATTTCTTTGAATCACTGTATAAAAAATATATTCCTCATAAACTCGCTCCAATCGTCGCACAGCAGAGTTTTTGGAAGGGTAAAACCAAGTTTAACATCCCCAGTTCAAAACACTTTCCTTGTCCTCTTAGGCAAGAACATCTGTCGTAATACTGTTATATTTTGGCTGTTAATTTTGTTTAGCGAACGAACGATATTTACCAAACCCAGTTGGAAGAACAGCAACTACATGGTTCCCATGTAATAAAAGCTAAAGAATCTGATTTCGAGTACGTCGGTAGCAAAAAGAAGGAAAGATTTCAAAGACTAAACGCATTTTTAAGCCGCTCTAAGCACTTAAATTTTGTGGACACTCTTAGGTTGGCGGCCATCTTGAATTTTGTAATTCATTATTATTATAATTTATTACACCCACTATATCTGGGTTTTGAAAGTCATGTAACCGGCCGGTGCCAGGGCCTTTCCCCGCCTTCCGAATGACAAAAAGGGAAAAGCCCTGGGAACGAGGTTGCAATGTTAACACAACCAAACGACACGCATAATATATTTTATTTTCAAACAAGAACATACATGCATGCAGAAACCGGGCCTCGCCTTGCTGACAAAACAGTTGTATTTTCCAAACATGAAGTATTTAAAGTAGTTGTCATAATAACACGATAATTTTATTAAAAATATTTTTACAATTGAAAATTCCCCTAAAAATAACACTTTTAATTACAAAATTATCAATTTCCCAAACGTATGTATGTTACGTATGTTATTATACGTAATAATTATAAGCTTCAATTTAGGTAAAATTCAAGCACAAACGCTTTACAAAACATTTTAAAATGTTGCTTGTGAGGTTACTCTGAGTGTATATCCACACCGGGCAGGCTTGAAAAATATGCCTGGCCACGGTGGGAATCGAACCTTCCCACCGTGGCCAGGCATATTTTTCAAGCCTGCCCGGTGTGGATATACACTCAGAGTAACATCACAAGCATCTTATTCACCTTAGTACACTACGCCAACAAAGCAAATATTTTAAAATTTTCTTTATAAAACTAATTATATTTAAACTGCCTTTATTGATAAACTTTGAGTTTGAAATAAAATTATTTCAAATTCTCCCATGCAACTTTTTTATTTAAAAATTTTAATATAATAGAAAAAGGTAATCAATAAAGATACACTGAAATTATATGCTGCCCTTTTTCATTTAAAATACATGCAACGATCAGCTTTTAAAACAATTATAAAGCAAACAATTCATCAATATTTAGAACAAACTTACCTTCGTTAACATCGGCGCCTTTACTCCCTTCTGTTATCAATTCTTTCGCCTTTTAGTTTCTCAAAAAGGTTTGAAATTTACAAAATCTTGCCAAAATTAAATATATTTGCAAGAAATCATCATCTCGAGAAATGTTTGCTATTTCGCTGTCGTCATGCAGTGGTCATAATGCAAATTTCAAATTGGACCAATCAGTGTTCGCTTATTCATGACAGTCCGCTATATTTTAAGATCAGTGAGAATGACCACCCACGGACAGTAACCCACGCCCGCGATTATAGATGAACTTTAGACCTTTGCTAATGCTTTTCTTTCCCCGGGATAAATAGCCGGGAGGAATTAGTACCCTCGCCCGGGCTTACGCCCGGAACGGCGCCCCGAGAAAAGTGAAACAGCAACCTTGTGAACAATTTTAAATATTTATATTTTAAATTTGGTGAGCAAACCAGCAGCAAAAATGGAATATTAAACAAAAGCTCAACCCTCTAAATATGTTTCAAGAACTAGTGTTTCAACGAAAACAAACAACCTGTCAATTTACTTGAACATTTTTGAAGTGATTGGACCGTTTGGACTTTGAACGTAAAATATTATGGCTTATACACTGCACTTTTCGCTAATTTAAAAAGTATTTTCGAAATACTTGATAACGATGATGATGAGTTAAAGAAATTTGTCGTTTAGGTATTATTTTTCACTTAATTCACTTTTTTAAACAGCATTTAATCGCTATATTTCATATTATCAACTCAAAGCAGCTTAGCTTTCTTGTTTGTGGAAGTCTGACATACAAAAATTTAGTTGGTTGAGAAACTTGATTGACAGGTTTTTGTTTGTTTGTGATATTTTATCCAATTAAATACAAGAACGATTACGTCAGTGTCAGCTTGTACTTAATTGGGTGTGCAACTTCGTAACCTTTTTCAGGATGTTTATTTTCATTGCATCATAGATTGAAAAATAGATTTCCTTGTCTTTTTTAAAGGATTTGCATGCGTTCATAGCGCTATAAAAGGCAAATACTTTCCGATTTTTAGATGCAATGAAAATAAACATCCTGCTTTGTCATAATATAAGAAAAATCCTATTGAATGGTTAATTTGACATATGTCAAGCGCGCATTACATCTTGCTTACTATAACTAGCCTCTTTTCGTGCTTACAATGCACCCAACAAAGTGATACCAATATATAAAGAAAACACTGCCACCGCAACAACATTTTTGTAAGTTATTCCTTATATAATACTTTTTGTTTGTGGAAACAACACGTTAATTTATTACTGCAAAGCTTTCGATCCGTAAGCCCGGATCCTCATCAGTGCTAATATATAACTTGTTCAATTCACACGCCCCTTTTATATACCAAAAGTGTCGTGATCTGATCGCTCAGGTCATTTGAAAGTTAATAGACAGCTTTAGCAAAGACAACGCCACGTCAATTAGGACGTGAAAATGACGCCATACACCTCGCGTTTACTTCCGGTTAGAATCTGCGACGTCGTGTTTTTCTCTTTCGAAGCAAATTTCTTGTATTTTTCACCGCCTGCATATTTTTTTTATCGTGTTCAATTATTTGTCCAGGTATGTGCAAGAAAATGCTCTACTTTACTGGCCGAGTATTTTCCAAAAATGTTCTATGAACATTCAACAACTTCTTTTTGAAAATAACTGGTACATTTTCTTGTTTTTGAACAAGCGAATCTTCTGCACCATACGAACGAAAACGCAAAAGCTGCAGGTATTGTTCATGAATTAAATACTTTGGTTTCTATTTGATTTAATCGACTTTCGTATTCTCGTGAGAAGGCAACTAAAATTAGAGCTAAAATTGATTCCGTTTTTACAAGTTTAAGCGCTTTAATTATTCTATATTCCTACTTTTTTCTTCTTTTTAAAGTCTTGTTGTTGTATTTCAGTTTTTGTGCTTTAAAATAGAAGTAGAAATAGAAGAAGTATCGAAGTGGTCAACAATGCTTGCAGTCCGGTTGTTTTGTTATATGGTAACACCGTAACAGTAACCACAACAACAGTCAGAAGTAGTTATTACATACTATACCGTATATGTTAACACTATCCGCAGATTATTATTATCATCATCATCATCATCATCATTATTATTATTATCAAAAACGTGGGTTTCTGAAAACATGGACTCAGTAGTTAATAAATTCGTACGGAAATGGCTTGAAATACCCGTATCTGGAACTTTAAGTAATGTCATCCTCACAAGTAATAAATTTGGACTAAATATATACCCTCCATCCGTCAAGTTCACTCAGTGCCAAACAGTCTCTCGTAAAGCCTTAAAAATGGAAATCAACTTGCAACAATACGTTACATACAGTACGACGTCTACACCTCAACAAAGGAAGTTCTTAAAAGTTTCAAATCTGCACAAGAGGACAAGCTTCAAAATCATCTGCTTCTCCAAGGCTCCTTTTTCTCTAACATCACCAAGTTCTCGTTGTCTACACTAAACAACCTATGGTCCAAATCTCAATCCAGCTTGCCAAAAAGCATCTATAGCTTCACCATTCGTTACATCAACAACACTCTTCCCACACGCAAAAACCTCACAAAATGGGCAATAATGTCAAACTGGGATTGTTCCCTCTGCGCGCCTGAACCCTGAAACCCTTCTGCATGTAGTCGCGGGATGCCAGTCATACCTTCCACGATTTACTTGGAGACATGACTCCATTCTTAATTTCGTCGCAAAAATATTCCAACCTGAACACAACTCCACGCATTTGTTGATCTTCCTGGATACAAGAGCCCAGCAATAATAACCGGTGACACTTATCGCCCAGATCTGCTTCTTTCGATTTCAAATGATTGGCTGTACATACTCGAACTCTCTGTCGGATATGAATCCAATTTCCAAAACAACGTCGATCGCAATAGGGAAAGATGCAAGGATCTAATTACGCAGCAGAAAGACCATTTCAAAACTGCCAAAATTATTAATTTGTCTATTAGTGCCTTAGGTGTTTTCTCAAAAGAATGTAGCACGTTTATGAAAATGTTGAACGAAGTTGGTCTTGATAAAAAACATCAGAACTTTTGTGTTAGGAAAATAATATCCATCACCATCAGGACAACGTACTATATATTTTGTTGTAGAAACAAGGATTGGACCGATCCGGACTTGATGAACATTTAACAATGAGCTTTCTCTTAGTTTTATACCTGTAATATAGTTTTATCAATAATTAATAGTTCAAGTAGTCAATTATAAATTACCTTAATTAGTGAGATTTATAATTGTATATACATAAAATGTCAAAATAAAGTTTCCATTAT